CTGTCCGGAGCCAAAACGCGTTAATGGTTTTCGAACCGTTTATTAAAATTAAAAAATAGAGTTGTGAATGACTAAAATAATATTCTTTTGAGGCATTATATTTCTCATACTATTTTTTCATCATCTTTATCATACTTTAGCTTACACTATAAGTGTCGTTAGACCCTGTGAATTCCACCTAGTTATTTAAACTATTTTTTTCTTTGCGTCTTTTTGGAGTCAACAAGCCCACGACCAGCCACGTCTTGAAGGAGGAAATTGAGTGCTGTCCCAACGAAATTCAGCAATACATATTTACGTATAGATTTCATTGAAATCGTAAGAAATTTTCTTAAAACTTCAATTTTTACCATTTTTTGCTAGATGGAAGGTGGAAAAAGATAAGAGGGTAGAATGTTGTAATGATATTTCTGTATACATACAATTTGAAAAATTTGTTATTAAAATTTATAAGTTCTATTACATACTTTATTACATCAATTAATGTGTGGAATTATTTCCTTAAAATGATAGATTTATTAAAAATAACTCACTATGTACCTATATACAATTTAAGATAAAGTAAAATTAAAACATTTTTCAAGTAAAGTTTTATTTTATTTAAAAAAATCTTTGACTTATTTAGCAGGTACTTGTGTGTACCTAGTTCTATCGTTAATTGGATGATCTGGCATATTTTCTTGGTCACTTTTTTTTATTAAAAATATATTTACATTCATCTTTTTTAAGTATGATAATTTAGCGCCAAAATATCGTCTATTGACAAATTACGAATAAAAATAACAACCAGCCTTATTCATAAAGACCTACTTAGTATAATACTAACAATCTATTACTTAATAGCTACTAAGAAGCTATTAAGCAGTTCGTATTCATAGTTGAAATTTTAGTAGTTACTTGTTAATTACGTTTTCAACGACAGAAACATTTGGCAATGCGGCATATTTACGGATTCCGTGGTTCATTCGACCTACTTGGAAATATTTTTATGTATTTTAACCTCACTTTAACTTGACGTGACATACGTGCATCATATCAAATTTATGCTTTGTACAATTTCAACTTGTTCTTGTTATTATGAAAGATTTAGGATTACTGGATGTGAATGAAGAAGGGAATGAAGCTGAAGAAGCCAATATAATAAATAGACATCCAAAAGTTTACTTGCCAAGACAAAATCCTTTTGTTAAATATGATATGCATTTTAAAACAGGTACAGAATGAGGAAAGAAACTGCTCGGTTTGTCATACAATTAGTAGAGGAAGAATTATTAGGTAATTTTGAAAATAACAGGGAGTAGAAGTAGAAGATAATGCTCAAGGAAATATATTTAGGAGACAATATATTCAACGTTATTGTAATTAATAGTTAAACATTTTGAAATATTTGAAAATGTATATTTATTGAAAATAAATACAACAAAACAGTTTATTATTATATATCAGAGTTTTATATATTTATTAACAGTAATTATAAATATTAATTTTCTCTATTGCATCTGCATTCATTTATCTGTAGCATTCGCAACCGTTCCTGGTGATACTTCCTCTCGTTTTACATTTTCACCTTGTGCATCTCTGCAGATCGTTTCATCATCTATTCTTAATTTGTTTAAAGCTAACAATTGGTTTTCATATTTTGTCATTGGCTTTGCTTTTGCGTGTTTCCTAGGTGTACTTGGCTCACCAAGGCTATTTTTCAAAAACTTGGTCTCTTTAATTTGATTTGATACGACTATTGTTTCTTCATATATATCTTCCAAACAACCAGTTTCAGGATTAACAATAAAATCCCCATCTTTCGTCTCATTATTTATCAAATCTATCTCCACATTTTCTTCTATTCCAATAAAATTTGTTTCTGCAGTTGTATGATTCTAAAATGTTAGTAGAAGTATTTTACTAAGAACTAATAGAATTATGACATACATACTTTTACAGAACTATCACTATCAAATGTAGAGTAATCATCAGTAAATTCATGTGGAAGGAGGTCTTTTATTTTATAATCTATATCACTCGGTTTGGGCTCGGGAGGCCCACCACCTGTTTGACACATACTTTTTTCATGCCGTCGTATTGCCGTCTTTGCTTGCACTTTCATTCTTTGCCATTGTTCCTTCATCCTCAGAATGTCTCTGGTATAACCTAATAAATGTACATGATTATTTTTTTCTTCTTCATTAATAAATATCACTCACCTTGGACATTCATTTTACATTTTATACGTTCCCATGCAGCATGTGTGTCTCTATTTAATATGGTAAGTTTCTTTTTATTTTCAATAATTTTTATTTCCTCACAAATTAAATCTAAAAAAATACATTTTTCTGTCTCTTCCCAATTATGTGAGCGTTGACGTTTTCTCTATAAAATAGTCATTAAAACTATTGTAAATCAAACGTACTTAGGTAAATCTTTACATTAGCGGAATCCGGTAAAAACTGCTTAAAATTTTGCTGTATTCACACTCCAACCTAAATAAATATATGTACCTACATTAAGGTTTGAGGTTACAATTTTGATTTGTTTTTTCTCAAACACTACATCCGAACGGAAAAAAATAACTTCAGATTCTTACTCAGCAGCCTCGAAAATAGAGAGTAGCTAAAGTTTTAGGAATCATTTTCCGAATTCCGCTAATGTAAGGATTTACCCGTACTTATACCTACATGTGAATAACTACTTACATTTTCTTTTAATTCCTTTGTATAACACATAAAATATAAAAAAGATATAACTGTAACTAAAAATATCTTGGTTAGACTTTTCAGAAAACTTCAAACTTCAAATGTAGACAGACGAGATGATAGATGACGGTTTTTTTTATACTATCTCCGATAGACATACCTCAGCACGCTACTAAAAATTTAGTTACCATCTAGGACTAATAGTTTACTAATTTCTTTTATGAATACAAATTTCTTAGTAGGATCTTAATAGGATGTTAGTAGACAGTATTACCGTATATGAATAAGGCTGGTCATTATTATACACTCACCCGCAAAAGAAACCGGCCACCCTAAAATATTTCATAAAAGCATATAAATAAAAATTAATGTAACTTAGAATTGATATTTGGTTACAGAACCATTCATTATCAATTCAGGTTGCAACGAAAAACCAAGGAAAAAATTATTTAAGACAAAATTAAATTTAATTAAAATAGAAACGGAACAAAAATACACTTGTTTCTTATGTCTAAAAAATTATGGTGAGTGTTTTTAATGGACCTCCTGGTTATTGTTAATAGCGTGTATGTCCTCCTCCAGNATTTTTTAAATTAAAAAAAAAAAATTTAAACAATTAATGTAAAAATTATTATCTAACAGAATTGGATGAAATTTGGTGTGATGATTCTATGCACTAAGAATTTTAATTGGGGAAAGTATGAGGATCGTAGGTATTATTCAAGTGTCTGAAAAAAATTGACAAATAAACTAGCATTTTTGCAATATTTTAAATGATTTTTTCGATTTTTGCAATAACAATAATTATTTTTTCGAATTGCAACTAACTCTATCTTGTTCAAAATTTAATTACAAATCTTTTTTTCCTCTTCCATTTTTGTCTAAAACGAATAGTTGCTAGGTTGTCGACGAGAAATCCAAGAAAAAAATGAATTTTTTGCTAATTTTTTATACTTTTTTGCAATAACAATTAAGCCCACGTTTTTTTTTATTTGCATAGAAATATTATCATTTCTGATGTTGTTTAGAAGCCGTTAAAGCAAAAATCTCCGATCATATGCGTTCTACCCAACCCGAAACAGATACCGCCTGGACTACTTCGACTTACTTAGCAGGTACTTATGTGTACCTAGTTCTATCGTTAATTGGATGATCTGGCATTTTTTCTTGGTCACTTTTTTTATTAAAAATATATTTTCATTCATCTTTTTTAAGTATGATAATTTAGCGCCAAAATATCGTCTATTGACAAATTACGAATAAAAATAACTCAACATTATTATACACTCACCCGCAAAAGAAACCGGCCACCCTAAAATATTTCATAAAAGCACATAAATAAAAATTAATGTAACTTAGAATTGATATTTGGTTGCAGAACCATTCAATATCAATTCAGGTTGCAACGAAAAACTAAGAAAAAAATTATTTAAGACAAAATTAAATTTAATTAAAACAATAACAGGAACGGAACAAAAATACACTTGTTTCTTATGTCTAAAAAATTATGGTGAGTGTTTTTAATGGACCTCCTGGTTATTGTTAATAGCGTGTATGTCCTCCTCCAGTCTGAATTGCAGCATTCAACCGTCGTGACATGAGTCAACCAAATTTCTTAAGCGTATTTGGAGAATTGCTTCGTATTCTTCTTGAAGGGTCAGTCTTAGCTCTTGAAGCGTCTGTGGCATGACTGGTCGACGACGAATAGCCCTCTGAAGTTCATCCTAAAGATGTTCAATTGGGTTAAGGTCCGGGCTGCATGCGGGTCAATCAAGTCAAAAATTCCCGAGCGGCTTTTGCCTGACCCTGGGATAATTTATTTATAACGCTGTTTTGTACATCCTACTATATTAGTTATAAAGATCAACATAATTCCCACTTTTTGATTTTTTTTTTCGATATCTACATTATTTGTTACATTTAATAAAATATTTATATCACATGTTATCCTAACTATTAACGAAATATGAATTGTTAATTTGATGGTAATGAAGTAGCTGTATAAAAAGAATTATATGATTATTTAATGGTATACCTATCAATAATTACTAAGTATCTATATAGGGCAATATTACTGAGATCTAAGAATTGGGGAGATTCCTCCCATTTGTCATAGTACAGTTGCCTTTGTAACAACCAAAAATGGAAGAAGAAAACACTCAGGTTCTTGAGAATACTTTAAAATATTTGCGTTTCTTCTTGATTTGGCCACAAGAAGGAACAAATTTCAATTTGGGAAAGGCGTTTTATTTGAAGTTCGTGTTGCTTACAATTTCAACATCTTTTATCCTTTATGGCAGTGTGGCTCATATGATTGTGACTCTGTATGGTAAGCAAAATTTTAGCATACTTTCGATATATATTAAGCTAATTCAAATAAATTCTAATTTTTTTCTTCCTAAAAAAATTATCAAGTGATGTTAAACTTTGTTCTTTGACCCAAAAATATCTAGATATGCACGAAATATCTAACTTCATATACAAGATTACCAACTGCTGTTATGAGTTAGCATTGAATGATACTATCAATATCTAGCAAATATCCAAAACTAGAATTTTTCGAAAATGAAACATTTCTAGACATTTCTTCACATTTTTTTCTTTTTAAACAATCATGTGTGCGTGTGTGCAACTTATGCATATTTATTTTTTCAGAAAAAAATGGAGCACAAATTGATCTGGACATAGCCGTCACCATTTCCGTGATCGGATCGTACTACTTCAATTTTTCCTACCTTTCAAACATCAAAGAAATAGCCGACATATTTAAGGATCTCGCCAACTTTAAAACCTTTGAAATGCCATCTGGGTACAAACACTTTCTTAAGAAATGGAACGAGCTCTCGACTTTTCACTTCATCTATTACGTAATTTTGTGTTCGTTTTGTTTGGTAGTGGCTTTGCTGGAATCTAGGAGATGCCTCGCTAAAAACGCTTTGAAAGGCACCCACGAAATCTGCGGGCTAGCCCTGAACCTTTGGTTGCCGTTCGATATCGACTATTTTCCTCTGAAGCAGATAATTTGTTGTTATCAAATCTATTCGGTGTTCTTTTCCTACGTGCTTTCGTCCACCGTCTCCTTCTCCATCATGGAATCCATGGAGCATGTGATTTTTCGTTTGGATTACGTAAAACAACTCTTCGTTGAGGCTTTAAGACAAGAGGAACAAGTTATAAGGAAACATATTTTCAAGCATTCCGTTCAGTACCACAATTTCGTTATCAGGTATCAGGCAGTTGTATCGCAACAGTATACAGGGCGTTTACAAACTTCGAGGGGATAGTTGAAGAATAAATAAATCGGGGTGCGAAAAGGTGTTTTGCTAATAATTTTTTTTTCTAATACGTGCTGCTAATCTCGGCAAAAAAGTCCAACAGACGATTTGATCTAGAGAAANAACGCTGTTTTGTACATCCTACTATATTAGTTATAAAGATCAACATAATTCCCACTTTTTGATTTTTTTTTTCGATATCTACATTATTTGTTACATTTAATAAAATATTTATATCACATGTTATCCTAACTATTAACGAAATATGAATTGTTAATTTGATGGTAATGAAGTAGCTGTATAAAAAGAATTATATGATTATTTAATGGTATACCTATCAATAATTACTAAGTATCTATATAGGGCAATATTACTGAGATCTAAGAATTGGGGAGATTCCTCCCATTTGTCATAGTACAGTTGCCTTTGTAACAACCAAAAATGGAAGAAGAAAACACTCAGGTTCTTGAGAATACTTTAAAATATTTGCGTTTCTTCTTGATTTGGCCACAAGAAGGAACAAATTTCAATTTGGGAAAGGCGTTTTATTTGAAGTTCGTGTTGCTTACAATTTCAACATCTTTTATCCTTTATGGCAGTGTGGCTCATATGATTGTGACTCTGTATGGTAAGCAAAATTTTAGCATACTTTCGATATATATTAAGCTAATTCAAATAAATTCTAATTTTTTTCTTCCTAAAAAAATTATCAAGTGATGTTAAACTTTGTTCTTTGACCCAAAAATATCTAGATATGCACGAAATATCTAACTTCATATACAAGATTACCAACTGCTGTTATGAGTTAGCATTGAATGATACTATCAATATCTAGCAAATATCCAAAACTAGAATTTTTCGAAAATGAAACATTTCTAGACATTTCTTCACATTTTTTTCTTTTTAAACAATCATGTGTGCGTGTGTGCAACTTATGCATATTTATTTTTTCAGAAAAAAATGGAGCACAAATTGATCTGGACATAGCCGTCACCATTTCCGTGATCGGATCGTACTACTTCAATTTTTCCTACCTTTCAAACATCAAAGAAATAGCCGACATATTTAAGGATCTCGCCAACTTTAAAACCTTTGAAATGCCATCTGGGTACAAACACTTTCTTAAGAAATGGAACGAGCTCTCGACTTTTCACTTCATCTATTACGTAATTTTGTGTTCGTTTTGTTTGGTAGTGGCTTTGCTGGAATCTAGGAGATGCCTCGCTAAAAACGCTTTGAAAGGCACCCACGAAATCTGCGGGCTAGCCCTGAACCTTTGGTTGCCGTTCGATATCGACTATTTTCCTCTGAAGCAGATAATTTGTTGTTATCAAATCTATTCGGTGTTCTTTTCCTACGTGCTTTCGTCCACCGTCTCCTTCTCCATCATGGAATCCATGGAGCATGTGATTTTTCGTTTGGATTACGTAAAACAACTCTTCGTTGAGGCTTTAAGACAAGAGGAACAAGTTATAAGGAAACATATTTTCAAGCATTCCGTTCAGTACCACAATTTCGTTATCAGGTATCAGGCAGTTGTATCGCAACAGTATACAGGGCGTTTACAAACTTCGAGGGGATAGTTGAAGAATAAATAAATCGGGGTGCGAAAAGGTGTTTTGCTAATAATTTTTTTTTCTAATACGTGCTGCTAATCTCGGCAAAAAAGTCCAACAGACGATTTGATCTAGAGAAATTCATCTTTAAAATGAGACTTTATACGTTAAAATTGCTTTATAAACAAAAAAGTTGATTTTTCTTTAATTGTTAATAACTTTTTAAATAATTAATAAAATCTTACCGAACTTTCCCAAAATGTGGGTTTTTATATCCCTAAGAGATGTGCAAAAGATGGGCTCGATTGATCAAATAGTTTTTGCAAAATTCCATTTATTTATCCCATTTTTGCAAAAAAGGGCCATTTTCAAATGACTATTCCGGGGACTGGGTTATGACTGAAACATTCTTTTTGGACTCATTTCCTTCGAAGGGACAACAAGTATCCTCTAGTTAAAAAAAATATATTTTTTTCAAATTTAGTTGTATATAATTGTTACCAAATAGAAGGCACTTTTTCCTTAATAAACAAATAAAATAACTCCGAGGTTTTTAACTTTTGAAAGAAGTTATATACATTATTCGAAAGTTCGTAAAAAAACCTACAAATTGAAAAAACAATCAGTTTCTACGACCAATAGGTCCGGAGTTAGCAATTTTTTTTTAAATTACAGAGCAATTTGTTATAAACATTAAGACCTGAAATTTTAACATTTTGTAAATGAAGGTTTAAATTTTATGCCCTGTTAATTTTAATTGAATTTGCCCATTATTGATCAATGTAAAATTTGTAATATCTCAGCTTCTATGTAACGTAGAACCTTTTTTTTTTTTTTAATTGGGAGTAGCTCGACGAAAAAATTACTTCTGGATGATTTCTACTGTTGTAAAACCACCCCCTACCCCCCTAAAAATGAATTAAAAAAAATTTTTTTTGCATTTTGTTTATTTGAAATGTTTTAGACAAAAATGTTAAAATTATTTTAACCCTTCAAAATTAATTTAACCCCTTCAACCCCCAAATTGAAGTTGAAATTTATAATGAATTAAAACAAATTTTCTACTGCCAGTATCTATGGAAATATGTATTTTACATATTNATTAATAAAATCTTACCGAACTTTCCCAAAATGTGGGTTTTTATATCCTTAAGAGATGTGCAAAAGATGGGCTCGATTGATCAAATAGTTTTTGCAAAATTCCATTTATTTATCCCATTTTTGCAAAAAAGGGCCATTTTCAAATGACTATTCCGGGGACAGGGTTATGACTGAAACATTCTTTTTGGACTCATTTTCTTCGAAGGGACACTAAGTATCCTCTAGTTAAAAAAAAATATTTTTTTGTCAAATTTAGTTGTATATAATTGTTACCAAATAGAAGGCACTTTTTCCCTAATAAACAAATAAAATAACTCCGAGGTTTTTAACTTTTGAAAGAAGTTATATACACTATTCGAAAGTTCGTAAAGAACCTACAAATTGAAAAAAACAACCAGTTTCTACCACCAATAGGTCTGGAGTTAGCATTTTTTTTTTAATCACAGAGCAATTTGTTATAAACATTAAGACCTGAAATTTTAACATTTTGTAAATGAAGGTTTAAATTTTATGCCCTGTTAATTTTAATTGAATTTGCCCATTATTGATCAATGTAAAATTTGTAATATCACAGCTTCTATGTAACGTAGAACCTTTTTTTTTTTTTGGGGTAGCTCGACGAAAAAATTACAATGGGCATATTTACGAATTCGTAGAATAGCCCTGAACCCCAGAAAAAATGCATCTTTCATACTTAATTTTTTTTAATTTCCAAAAATGT